TGAATTACTAGTTTGAAAAATAACGTAAGTATGTAATACAGTTTAATGTACAATTAGTCAAGTGACAATATTATTTATGCTATAGTTCTCTCACTTTTTGAAATGCATGAATCGTTTAACTGCTTTTGTTTTATTTTCATCTAATTGACCATACATTCTAGATCATAGTTTGATTTAACGATTGATTAAATCAGAGAAACTATTATATGACATGGATAGACTTTTATTTGATAGTGATAGTAATGAATTTTTATTGAAGAATATCATCACTTCATCATCTGTATTAGTCTGGATCTTAGGTTTGTTTCTACAACTAAGAAAAATATTCGGAATCCAATATAGTTTTTTGAATGTGTAGAAAATCTAGATAAACGGTTTGAATTAAATATTAATATTATAGGTCTATTATCTATGTATATCAGATTGGAAGATAGATATAAATCTTGTAATAACCTATGAAAATATATATTTCGCTCTCAGTTCTATCAGATCTAGAATTGAAACAGTCTTTAATACTTTCTCTCACTCTCATATTGCCATTCACTATTATAAGATAGTTTTATGCATAAATTTTACAATCTCAAGCTTGGATCTACAAATATATCAAAATTCGACCGAGAAAATGATGAGGCGGCGGAAAGTTTTAAGACAAAATATTTGCTTATTTTTGATCATCTTGGAAATGTTTCTGATGGGTCACGATTAGGATGAAGATTTTGTGCTGTTTCAATATAGGATTAGAAATATCGTGTCTACATGTGTTCGAGAGTACTGGCGAGAACTTTTGAAAGGTCTTAAAATCAAACTGAATGGCGAACTAAGAGGCTTCTGCTAACTTCAATAGGTCTCTTTTCGCGAGTACTACAAATTATCGGAAGCGACCGATTTTGTCCAACCAACAGTTCATTACATAATTTTATGTTGAATGAAGTTGCAACTTTTACCGCATCTATGCAAAACGCTTTTTGGTCAAAAAGTCGATTTTTTTAAAACAAGGGTTTAAAATAAACGAAAATTCAAGTGCAATATCGATAGACAAAAAAATCTCGTATTGTCCATGTTGTAGGATAGCTTCTGCTCTATCAGCTGATATATTAATAAAGGTTTCAGCTTTTACTTTCGAATCACAACAACGACACTACAGAAATGTATGAAAAAATTTTTCATCGAAACTATTGTTTTGGATCTTTGGAAGGTTATTTCATTAGTTTCGAACAAAATAAAATCAAGACAAATTTTCTAAGCCCATATTCGGAACAAGCAGAAAATTCCGATTCTAGTTCAGCATTTTTGACTCATCGAAAACATTTTCACAAGAATAAAAAATAAACAAATATTTCATCTTCAATCTTTCAACCCACATAGTATAGTCTCACATAGTCCAACACTAGTGTCAGTATATCAAAATGCGCGTGTATTCTGTGTTCAGTAACTACATGGAGTTGATGACTTCAAGGACTAGTCAAATGAAATGGCACTTCTCTAAATGAATTGTTCTTTTCATTCTTCTTATATACAAATTATTTCAGATTGAATACTATTATAATTAAAATAGAAGAGAGGAAACAGAAAAAAAACAAAAGACTTTTGTTCAGAGTTGTAAATGAATAGAAGAAGAAGAAGATATCTTATACCATAGGAGGTGAGTACTATTGAAATCAAAAGTTAATCGATAGAATGGAACTATTCTTTTCTAAATTACTTCGTGTTGGATAACCATTTGTTGATATTGTAACACTTTGATCCATTGGTGATGTTGAATTATTTGAAAGTATTGTTTCATCATTATTTATAAGTGTTGATAAACGATTTCTATATAAATCATTATCTTGTTCATCAATTAATGTTATTTCACTTGATATTGATTGACGATTATTATTATTATTATTATTTTCGAAATTTGTTGATTGTCCTAATGTTAATTTTGTTTGTTTATTTTGATCAAATATATCCGCACGAGAATCATAACTTGATCCATATGAACCATATTCATCTGATTGAATATAAGATATATTTGGAATATTATTTTGTCGTTGAAATGGATTATCATCATATATTGACATTGGTGATGGTGATGCAACACGTGAACGATTTAAATTAATTGAATCTTTAGGAATAGAAAATATTGGATCACTATGTATACGACGATGAAGTATTCGTTGTGGTATAAGAGAATCTAAGAAAACAAATATATATATATATAGAACGAAAAGACACTAAGATATTTCCTTTTTTACCAAATTTTTGTGGAATATCATCTTTAGATTTTTTATTTGTAACTATGTATGGTGATGATGATAAGTTTGATTGATTTATAATATTATTTGTTGATGTTATAGAGTAAAATCCAACAATTGACTAAAGAAATACGATATTAGTAGGATAGAGAAAAAAAAATATTTTGTCTTTTTTTTTTTTTTACCAATTTAGGATCAATTTCAACAAGTAATGATGGATCACTATATTCAACAGTTCGTATACAAATAAGAAATGCATGATAAAATGATGAATTTCGCATAAAAGCATGAGCTAAAAGGACAAACAATTTATTTCTCTCTAGTGTTTAGCTTTCTTTAAGAGATATGATTATAAAAAGAGAAGGAATTAATCGAGTGCATTAAGTATAAAAAGAAAAGAAAGAAAAAAAAATAATAATTTATGTGATCCATTTATTTTAATCATTAGAAAAAAAAAGAACGTAATTAATAAAGAAGATCAGTAAATATGAAATCTTAATAGAACGGCATCGTAACATCCGCTAATGTTATTCGTATTTTCGACTTAAACTAAAATGAATAAGGCAAAAAAAAAAAGGATTAATGTCTTAATCCTAAAAATATTAGCTAACATTCAATAAGTTATGAATTTGACACAATGAAACACAAACCATCTTATGTCAAAAAATATGTGTCATGTCCAATCAGAAACCAGTGATCAACTCTGTCTATGGAAACTAGAAAAATCCGGTAATCGGAGATTTCTATCATTTTCTCATGTTTTTCGACAACAACCTATCAGATAATCAAGAAACCGCGACGATAGAAATCAATGATCTGAAACAGTAAAAAACTGAAAGCACACTAAGCTACTTTATAAGTTTATTTGTCTGTATAGTTGATCTTTAGTATTAAATCAAAGTATTTAATACATTCTAGAATTTACGAATACTTGAACAAACATACACTTATAATTAATTATATCAAGTGTATAACTTATTGCGTCTTTCTAAAATCTAGGTGTTAAACATGATCTTTTGTTATATTCATTAAAATTATTAATCATAAATATGAATGTTTGTATTTTTCTTTATTGATAGGTGATAATTATTAGATATTTTATTATTTATATGTATATCATTTGAGAATTAATCTTCATTATTGTTAAAAGATTACAATTAATAAATAATAAAAAAAATGACACGAGCTAGATTACCGATTTTATAATTTCATTTAAAGATATTAAATTAGAAAAGCATTGATTTTTTTATCGTTTCCGATGCCATTCATCATTTCTGCCACACCCACTCATCTTTTTCTTTTTTTTTTTTTCTGCATTCAACATCCGGTACCCGACTATGATTTTCTTCGGCTTCTACTTCTTGTCTATAGTACTATCGTCTGCTTTATTCAATTCTTTAAATCCTAATTCTATCTTTGGTGTCATTCATTGTATTATTAAATCATTTTTTTTTCTGACATGATTATACAAAAAAACAAATGATAGTTAGACATTGAAAGATTTGATTTGTATTGTTCAGTAGAGAAAAACACAGTAGAAGAAAAAATTATAATCTCTTTTTATTATTGAAAGATGACTTTTTTTTTTTATTGTTTCTTACTACATTTTTCTTTTCATATTCCTCGTTTTAGAATTTTCAAACAATTCTTTACTCCATGCTCTTCTACTAAACGCTCTTTTTCTTATGGCATCTTTATCTTTATCATCATCATTATAATAGTTCATAAGTATACGTAAACTCTATGATCACGCTTGTCTTCTTTTCCTTCCGTCTTCATTAATTCTTATAGAAAAAGTATTAAGATAAAATCAATTTCTGTTGAAATCGATTTAAAATCAATTTTTTTCGATTATTAAATATTTAACAAAAGTAAAAGTATTTTTTGAAGAAGAAAAAAAAAAAAGAAAACGTTCGGCATACTTTCCATTAACATTGACAACTACGCAAAGAAAGTATAATTAAGAAATAAATTAGTCAACATGATTTTATATAATTTGACCTACTATAAAACATTCACCACTATGACTCCCACTCTTTTATTATCTTTTGCTATATTTTAAAAAATTTCCTTGTTCCATGTACAATTAAAGATCATATTCTACTCCCATGAGAGAACTAAAATAATACGAATTTTGTTCGTATATATTGAGAATCATAAAAATATAACACTTCAAATCCATCATTCACTATTTCTTTTCTTATCTATCTATCTGTCTATTTGATTATATATTTTTTTCTCTATTATGTCAGCAGAGAATAAAAACCAGAAGAACGCCAAACTACATAGTCCAATAACACATTAAAAAAAAAGAGAAGAAGAAGAGTATTCAACAACAATCAATGCTCTTCTTCTTCGTTACAACGGCCAACAAACTTTATTCGTCGCCTAGTCGCGTCGTACTTCTCCTATCATTTGTTTTATTTATGTGCTGTATACTACCGTCTATGTCAAATGCCTATCCATTTTATTCATCATCATCATCATCATTATCAATAACTAACAATATAAATAATGACAACAATGACAATGATATTAAAGATCGAGATTGGTTCGTGTTAAATGAAAAAACTTTAAATAATGATAATAATGACAATATATACTTAGAACGTAATGAACGTGGTACAGGTTTTTATATTGTTCGTAATGGTGATTATATTCTTCTTATTCCTGATTCGAAACATCATTTTACAAAAAATATGCGTCCTTATATTGGTCGTCGACGTTAGACGTATATATATGTGTTTACTGTTTAAAAAAATATCATCTTAAAAATGTTGATTTCAAACAGCAGAGAATAAATAAAAACGAAAAGAAAAATAAATAAAAAAAAAACAAAACAAAACAAACTTACGATAATAATATTGTTCGAATAAATCATTATCATGTTCAGCACATGATAGTTGTTGAGATAAACATTGACTTATAACCGATTGATCAATCCATTGTTCAACAGATTGTCGAATATTTTCTTTATGATATATATCTTGTAATAAATGAATATATCGCTGAGAATTTGCATTTAAACGAACAATTAATTGCCATAATTGTTCATAGATATCATGTGTATTCTATCAAAAAAAAAAATATATATCTATACAGAGAGAGAGAATAAAAATGAAATCCTATTTTAGAATATCAATATTGTAATTAAAAATAATTCGGAGTCTATTTTAGTTTAATTACATTGATTACATCGGATATACATGACACGTTCACTTTGTATTTTCATTAATTATTGCATCTATATATGTTTTCTATTAATAATTCTAATTTTATTGATTTTTTATAATGAATATCTAAATTTTAATATGTTAATGATCAAAATAATTATTCATTAATATTCTAGCTATCTATTCAGATTTCTAATAATACTTTCTTAGTTCTAATGTTCCATTGACAAAGTTCTTTTTTTTTTAATCTTTCGAATACAAGATAAGTTTCAATGCAAATGAAGGCTTTAACAATATATCTTAATACTTTATTTTCCTACGAGGATTTCATTTATTAAGAAAATTACTTATCGAAGAGATAATTTTTTTTTCTACATAAAACATATTCTATATGGTTTTAGTATAAAAAAAATAAATCACATTACTTATGCAGACGTTTAGGTATAAAGTTAATATTTCTCAACTGAACACTTTGAAATCTGTATGAAATTGTTCGACATGAATAAAAAAAAAATCCAATAAATTTATATTACATAAAATCGATTATAAATTCCTATGCATTATTGATATGAATATATCAAATTAATGAAAATAAAGTGTATCATAGCTTGTGTCTAGCATGAGATGATAATAAATTTATTCAAATTTTTTCTGATACTAGATCAAAGAATCATAAAATTACATGTCATGATCTATGAACTAGAAATGAGACTACCATATGGAATATTTCTATTTTTTATTTTCTTTTTTTAAATATATTCAAAGGCAATTCTTGTATTCAATATATAATTGACATCAGTTTTCTTTTATTTTATAAAGAGATACAGCTTTTATATTTGCCCACGCATTAATTTATTTAATCCACTATTAATTTGAAGAACTCTATTAGATTATGAATGAAGAGAAAGGAAATAGCTCTTAAAAAATAGTAAATTGGTTTTCATATCAAGTATTCTCATAGTTCTTTCATTAAATTATATTTCTATTAAGATAAAAAAAAAAAAAGAAAAACGAACCCTAGATGAAATCACATTTAATCTTAGATTTTTTTAATGAAACACCTTAGGCAATGATTACTAGATCATTTAGTCGTAAAATCAAGTTTACTTTTCTATTATTTTCTATAATTAATCATTGGAAAAGTATTTCTACCCAATTATCTTGACTTGAAATTTTAAATGATTTCTATTGTTCGTACAACTAGAAAAAAAAATTCACTGATAAAGTTTTACATAAAAATTTTAAAATATTATTAAGAAACTATCATCAATGTTATATTGCCTTGAAAAATAAACAAATTTGTTCTTCGGGAAAAAAAAGGTTTGGAAAAATAATATGAACTTATTATTTTTTTCTGAATGTTGTGTGAGTACTTAAAAGTATAACTATGTAATCTAATGTACAGATATATTCGATATCTTGATGATGACAATGAATAATTGACAACTTGTCTGGCAATTTTTATTTTACATGTCCATGAAAACGTGAATACACTGATCAGTGGACCGAAGGTAATAGCAAACTGTTAGCAAAAGCTCTCCGGAATTACAATGTGAAACATGATGTAACTGTTGTTGCTAATCATAGAAAGATTGTTTTATTCTATCTATTTTCGGACACATTTTTACATCATTGTTTTACTCCATTCTTCACATATGTAATAAGGAAGAAGTTCATATGTTATAAAAAGACATTATGCATATGTTGCCTGTGATCATATATTAACGTTTGCCACAGTCTGTGGAGGAGGCAAATTTTTACTCTTAGACTTCAACATTTCTTTTAGATTGTGTTTGACAAAAAATTGATGTTATTTTGAATAAATAATTTATTCTATAAAAAGTGTATACTCTAATTTGAAGCGCATTTAATGCGTTCTTCAATAAGTCAACAATAAAGTTTTCTACTATCCATTTCGAAATATAATGTGCTTCATTGTTCTTTGAATAATTTTTGATAGAAATATCATAAAGACCTGCAGTTTTCAACATTCAAGAGAGAAGATCTGGGGTCAACGAAAAATATCGAAAACGATATTTTGAAACGATTTCCTTTTTGACTTAGATTTTTAATAGGACTAATCGATTAAAAAAACTTTTCTCTTTCGATCTACGAAAGACCGGTATTCCTAGTTTATTCCGTTCGAGAGTGCTAAAACCTTTCCTGAGAGTTCCGACTTCAGCTAATTGACTTGTGACCACTCGGAAAAGCAGCTAGGCAGGGTGATTTACACTACTGAATTCAATGGTGATACTTGCTTTTAGACTTGAAATGATTTGACTCTATTATCTCAATATTTCCGAAATGTTGACTCCTTTGTTGCATGAAGACTGATGGTAAATTACTTCGACTGTGCTACTTTTCCAGATGATCACATGTCAATTGGCTGGAATCGAAGCTATCAGGAAAAGTTTTATAACTCTCGAACGGAATAATTAAGGAATCTCAGCCTTGTGTAGATCGAAAAAGAAATAGAATCAGAATATCGTTTTTTGAAAATCTCCACCAAAAACTCATGTGATTGGTTCAAGTGTTGTTGACCACTGTAATTTCTATATACTTCGATGGCCTCAGGTCTTTTCTCTTGAATGATGAAAACTACAGGTCTCTATGATGTTCCTATTGAAAGTTATTCAAAAAGCAGTGAAGCATGAATAGTAGATATCATGTCTTTGAGAAGATAAAGTTCAAGAAAGGAAATATGTCTGTAAGAAAAACTTATTATTTTCTCTAAAAAGTTAAATCTACGTCACTCATATGTACAATAGTTATACGATAAAATATTAACGTACTTGTTTGAGACTATGTGTTAGAATAGCCAAAATAACCAATCGAAGTCTTTCAATGGCACCATATTTTGTTGTTAGTGAATCACCTCGAAATTGAATTAATAATTCAATTGTTGATTTTAAATTTGATAAAAGACTATTGACAGAAGAAGGTCTAAATTATTTTATACATTCATAGATAAAATAATAATTCTATTTATATATATTTTAAAAGAAAAAATGAATTCAATCAAACTAAACTTACGAATTATTCATTCTTTATATAATTAAAACTAAATGCAGTTTATATTAAATTAAGTCATTCTATTGATATTTTATCTACAAAAAAAAAATACCATCTAGATTAGTTAATTATTTCATTCTATTCTTATTTTTCAATTTCATGATAAATTTTTCTTTAAAAATAATATTTCTATTTATTACTATTACACATGTACCTAAAAAGAAATACTATCAACAAGATGATTAAATTAGATATTTATAACCTTATGAAACAAAAAAAACAGGATTATATTTCGATAAAATGTTTAACTGATGACGTCCATTGAAACAGCAGAATATTTGAAAAAATGGAGATTATACGGATTATTGTATTTGATGATTTATATTGATTTAAACATTTGATATCAGTAAATAAAAATATTATTTCAAGTCAATGTCAATTTTGAAATTGTCTTTCTTTATATCATAGAAATTTCTTAAAAATAATAGAAATATATTCGAAATGATCCAGATAATCGTCACACTAACCAAAAATCAATTCTTCTTTCATATCTACGTCATTTTATAAACATAAAAGTCTATTAAAAATTTGAGAAATTAGCACGATTACACATAAAATTAAAATTTCTATTATTAATCTATGATGCGAAAGTCTTGACAGAAAACATTCGCTATTACCAAATGTATGTTCAGATTTTCCTTCTAGGATAAGATCGAACAACTATCAGTAAGTTTTGCGAAAAAAGTGCAGAATTGTATCTGTACAAGGCAAAATAGTGATTTTACTGCATTGCTTAGTTTATGTTTTGGAATGACTTCTACTCATTAGAGAATCATTCGAATTGACACTTACCGTTTGAGCTCATATGAGACCTACATAGACGCTTTCGTGAAGCTAGAAAAAGTCTAAGAGTGTTCGTCTCCTTTGAACCTCTGGAGCTAATTTAGGATCGTTTTACTGACTTTTCGATTCGGCATTGCATAAATACTGAAAAATCAAAAAACGGAATTTCGAAGTGAAATTTTGCTCTTATAGAGATCCAATAGCCTGTAAAATATCCTAAACGTTTCAGCTGAAAAGAATGTTCCTATGTGGAGATATTGAATTTCTAACCTCACGAAAGCATCCTTATAGGCTTAATATAAGCTCGAACGGTGAATATCAATTCGGACGATTCTTTGGTCAACATTACTGTACAGCATTGAATTCTGTACAAAATGCGAAATTTCATCTATATATTTTCACTAAAGAACTAGTTTCTACAGAAATGAGCATTGGTCAAAAAATTGCTTTTAAAAATACGAAATTTAAAAGATCTATGATGCAAAGGTCAATAGAGTACTTTGTAGCGCACTCTTTGCTCTATCAAATTGAACCAATAAAAATTATTTCGCATTGTAAATTTGATAGGTTTCAATCGAAATATAAAATTGATCAAAATAGTATTCTGTACAATCTCAAGAGCTTGGTCGGGTTCAGATCTGAAAATTTTGAAACCGACAGACTCTAGTCATCTGAGAAATGTGTAGGGTCCGCTAGTTACCGAATACAAAAAATTCATCTCGTTTCTTATGAGTGACTATTCAATTCTGAATAGAAAATTTTATTGAGAGTATTCAAGTGCGATTCAATCGAGTTCGAAAATTTTAGACCTTTCGAAATAATCTGATGATAATTGTTCAATCTTACCTCGAAAGAAAATTCTGAACATATATTCGGAAAGAACGGAAAAGTCTGATACTTGCTCGAATAATTTGTGTTATAGGTTAGTATTTTCTCTCTTCATTTATCGAAATCCTTTTTTTCAAAAGAAAAAAATCAATAACTAAATCTATCATTTATTCTTTCTTTGTTTTTAATATGACAAAATTTTATTAGCAATTAAAAATAGAATTATCTAATCAAATAAAAAAAAATGCATCTTACAACATTATTCTACAATTTAGAACAAAAACCATTTTATTAAAATTCCTAAAAATAAAAATATTTGTCTTCCATACAATCTAAAAATGGCTGAAAAAATTTCATAGATAAAATAATTCCAAAATAGTTCGAATAGGAAAAAAAAGAAAAAAAGTAAACATCATGTGTGTGAATCCATGTTTTACCCATACATATATCATTTGATCCAATCCGTATGGAGAGGAGCACGAACATAGGATTCCGTCTGTCAAAACATGATTATTCATTATTGTCATGTGTTGAAATTTCTTTTTATAAATATTCGTTATTATTTCGTAATGATTTTATTGTCTTTCAGATGTAAAAAAATCTTTCAAGCAGTTCCCAAATCCTCTTCTTTTTTTTCTCTTCCATCCGTCCCTTTCTTTTAAATATTATCATCATCTATACAATGTCACCAGATCAACATCAACAAATACCAGCTAAAGTTTTAGACGACTTATGCAGGTATGATTATATGCTATTAGAATAAAAATAAATTATATTTTTGTTTTTTTTTTTGATAGTCGTTTTATTATTAATATACCAGCTGAACAACGTGAAGATCTTGTTCGTGTATTATTTGCTGTTGAATTAGCTCATTGGTTTTTTATTGATTTCTATTGTGAAGATTATAATGATTTACATGTATGCAATATAAAAGAATTTGCCCAACAAAGTACAGAAAACATTAAAATAAAAATTTTTACTTTTTGTTTTTTTTTTTTTTGAATTAAATTAGTTTTTCTACATTGTCCATTTTTACGTGATTATGTTCATAATCTTGATACAATCCTATCACGCTGGCGTGGTTATAAATTAAGTGTACCAACATATGGTGCAGTTTTATTAGATCCAACATATGAACATGTTTTACTTGTACGAGGATTTTATAATCGTGAAAGTTGGGGTTTTCCCAAAGGAAAAGTACAAGAAAATGAAAGTCCATTGAAATGTGCTATACGAGAAGTAATATTTATTTGCTTTTGTTTTTACTTTGAATTTATTTATAAAAAATATTTTTTTTTTAGGTTATGGAAGAAGTTGGTTTTGATATGAAAGATCGTGCTTTTGATAATCAATATTTAGAACGTGATCTTAATGGACAACTTATTCGATTATATATAATTAAACATGTACCACTTGATACAAAATTTGCTGCTAAAACAAAAAATGAAATTAAAGTAATAGATTTTTCTATAAATTATTTTTTTTTTTTTTGGTTTTTGAACTTGATGATAAAAATTTTAATTTTAACTATTTAGATACATATTTATGTTGAGTTCGAAAGAGTTTGAGAATCAACAAATTGGATTATGATCATCCATAGTTTTCAGAAGTTATGAAAAAAAAAATATATTCCTATCTGTCGAATGTAGAATCCGTAGGTTAAATATCCTAAAAATTTCAGTTCAATTGAATGTATTTTATATGAGATATTGAGTGTGGAAAGAGTAGAAATATCTTACGGACAAAACAATAGAATCAAATTTGTCTGAGCTGAAATTTTTAGAATATTCCAGTAGTCTTGATACCTGATTATTGACAAAATTGAAGATTAAAGTCTCGTAACTTATATTTTCATGAACGCCTAACTTATGAGTAAGTCCTTTAAATGATTAATTACTCTTCTCTGGAGACAGTGTACATCACTAAGATCCTAATGAGTTTGAATACACTCTAATGATCTCCTGCTGTTACCTTATTACGATTGGGATAATTCATCTTTTAAATCAAAGTCACAGTTCCCACCTCAGGTACACCAGAAAAAAAACTGACTTTTGAATTTCAACTTGAAATTTTGCACGGAGATACATCTCAAACAGAATAGTTTATTCTGTAAGTTTCAGATCTTTTCGTCGTTTCTACCTCAAGATACAGTTATACTATTCTATTTAAGACTCATTGCAATACAAAATTGCAAGTCGAAATTCAAAAGGTAGTTTGTTAGATGTTCCTGATGGAACTACAACTTTGATTTAAACGATGTACCATCTTAGAAGTAATAAGACAATAGTAGGAGATTTCTTTCAGTGTATTCATAACTCATGAGGATCTAAATGATGCATACAGTTCCGAGTCAAAAGCGATTAATCATTCGGAGAAATCTCATCGATATCCGACCGTTCGAGGTGTTTTCATGTCAAACGGTTTTAGTTTGCCTATTTTATGAAGTATTCTTTGGATAATCTCCACTTGAGAGACCGCCTTTCAACACTTCAAGATTGAAGCGCCCTATGTGTCACACCATGTCGACATGCAAGTCTTTATTTATTAATAAGAAAATGGAAGTTAACACGTTTAAATGGTGAAGAATCAGAAAAGCCTTTTTTTGGCTCCTAGGAAAAAGCACCAATTTTTTTCATGATAAATTCTTTGCATTAAGGTCTATCGACTTCGAGTTGCTACTTACGAGCAAAGTTTACCGAGCTTTATTTGTAGTCAAAATTATTTTATATGTTCATAGACATTTTTGTATAATGAAATTTTTTCTTCTAGGAAATGCGTTGGTTTCGTATATCTGATTTACCATGTCATAGACGTGATAATACACCTCAAGTTACATTAGGTCTTAATCCAAAAGCTTTCTTTATGGTTATACCATTTATAAAGTATGAATCAATCGAATGAATTTCACAAAATTGAAAAAGTTTTTTTTGTTCTCAGAGATTTACGTCGTTGGATAAATCAAGAATGCGGAATTTATTCATCATCAAATGGTGATTCAGATAATGCAAATGAATATATAAAACGACGTGAACAATCTCGTGTACATCATCATTATCCACAACAACGACGTCGAATAACAACATATCATGGAGTTACAACACCAGCTAATACTCGACAAGCAACAATTTTACAAAAACTTTTTGGTGTTGATCATCAAACATCTTCATTTAGTAAGTAAAACAAAAAACAAAAAAAAGCTGAAAAAAAATTTTTTTTTTTAATTTTCTAAGTTCGTGATAATACATCGACACGTGAACAACGAAGAAATTCAAGAAAAATTATTGCTAATCTTACAACGCAAAGTGCTGATGAACAACAAATATCATCATCATCATCACCACCATCAACAAATAAACTTCAA